AGATATAAGTAGAACTACAGTTACTCTGGTTTACTTTCCATTAAGTCAACTTCCTTGCTCTTCTTAAACTCCACTACGCCTTCTTTAATTTTAGCCCTTCTACGAACACATGGATCTTCATAGATTATAAGAATCACTTGATTGATGTGTTTCATTTACATTTTAGAGAACTTCCATAAAACATGAAAGCTCTCTCAGTGTGTCTCAGAGAGATTATCCCACAAAGAAATGTTCCTCTTTGAGCATTTTCTTATATTTCTTCCTGTCTTCAAAATAAGTCAGATCATTTAATTTATTTTAATCTTTTCTATTAAGTGCCAGTAGCACAAAGTCTCAATATAGTCAACAGTCCTAAACAGCCCAGGAGAGGGAACCTCTATAATAATTAAATGCCTGTAGAATATATATTTATTATGGTTGGAGATTCCTAAATTGAGAGAGGGAACTTCCTCCACTAGTTAGTAATGAAATGCAGAAGTGAAACTGAGTATCATATACCTATAATACTTAGTTCTAACTCTTTCTTCACCATTGTCATTAGGAGAGTTGGCATGCAGAAACATCTTGAAAGTTGCATATTTTAATACATTATTTACCTTTTCCACACAGACTTTGATAGTCATATAAATTCAGTCTTGCTCAGAGTTGTCCAATCTTTTGGCTTCTTTTGTCCACACTGGAAGAATTATCGTCTTGGGCTACACATAAAATATACTAACACAGGCTCTGAGCAAGATGGCAGCCTCCGAGCCGGTTAAGCTAGGGCTTCAATACCCACCGGCAGCTACCCTGCACTGTACGGCCTTCCTGGCTTTTGGTTGACTTGAACAGATGCCGAGTCATCACAGATCTCATTAGTCTCATCTGCCAGCGCTTTGGCGTCGGTTCTGGGGCCCTCCGAGGCCTCTAACTGGAGCGGGGGCTCGTGCCCCCAACTGAGAGCGCACGCCTGGTGAGAGACAATGACTGCCTTAGAGTTAAATTAGAAGAGAGAGGAGTTGCTAAGAATTCTGTAGTCAGCAGTAACGGTGACAGTATTCATTTATCACTTAGAAAAGCAAAAAAGCGGACATTTAAGTTAGAGGATGAAGAAACTGAACCGGATTACAAATATTCAAAGAAGCATTGGAAGAGACAAGAGAACAATAACAATAATGAGAAGGTCTTGAATCTAGAACGAAAAGCTGTCACAGATCAGACTATAAGCCAAAAAGAAAAGAGAGAAAAAATAAAGCAACCTGTGGCACAGCGGGTGATGATAACAAAGAGACCAAAAGAAAATCACCAAAAAAAAGGAGAAATGTGAATATGAAAAAAAGGCCAGGAATCCCAACTCTCCTAAAGTACAGGCAGTAAAAGACTGGGCCAATTAGAGATGTAGTTCTCCAAAAGGTTCTGCTAGAAACAGCCTTGTTAAAACCAAAAGGAAAGGTGGTATAAGCGTTTGCTCAAATGGGAGTCCCAGTTCCTCCTCGGAGTCTGAGTCTTGTCATGAATCAATTAGTGATGGTCCCAGCAAAGTCAGTTTGGAGGGCAGAAATTCCTCAGAGAAATTACCAACTGAGTTATCAAAGGAAAGACCCTCTACCAAAAGAACAATTGCAGAGAAACTGACTACAAAACCTGGCTTTAGCCTTATGCCCAGCAAGGGCAAGACCTCTGGAACATCATCTTCTAGTTCAGATTCTGGTTCAGAGTCAGATGACCAATGCTTGATGTCATCGAGCACCCCGGAGTGTGCTGTGGGTTTCTAAAAGACAGTAGGCCTTTTTGCAGGAAGAGGTTGTCCAGGCCCTGAGCTGTCATCACAGACTGCAGGTGCTGCTGGATGAAAGCCTGCTGGCTTAAATGGTGGCAGACAGGCTCTTGGTCCTTCTCCCAATGTGTCTGTCCCCAGTTTAGGAAGAGGATGGGGTAGAGGAGAGGACCTTTTTTCTTGGAAGGCAGCTAGGGGACGGGGTGTGTGGGGGAGAGGTCGAGGATGAGGGCATCCTGTTTCCTGTGTTGTAAATAGAAGCACTGGCAACCAGAGACAACAGCAATTAAATGAAATGGTAACAAATTCATCTACTGTTTTCCAGAATCCGGTAGAGACACACCAGAAGGACTGTAATCTGTTACTGCTGTTAGCAGCTGCCCCTCAAATTGGAGAAAAGGTTGCATTTAATCTTTGGAACTAACATCCAGTTACACTCTCATGATGTCTCTGATTACAAGGAAAAATATTAAGCCGTAATCCGGAGATACAGCAAGTAGATAGAGAAATTCTTTCATCCTTACCTACCTTGAGAGAACCTGGGAAATTTGATTTGGTTTATCACAATGAAAATGGAACCATGGTAGTAGAGTATGCTGTGATGCAGGAGAGCAAGATCACTGTATTTTGGGGAGAGCTGATTGATCCACGACTGATTATTGAATCTCTGAGTAATACATCAAGTACAGAACCTGTCTGAATATGACCTCTCCACCATATAGTTTATGAATGTCTTGTTTGTGAAAGTGACTATAACTTGGACTTTTTTTTTTAAGAGGATTTGAAAGTTGTATGGATTTTTTTTGTTATCTTCATTTTACTGCATAGGAAACAATCTACCTCATCATTTAAAATGACATGGGTGTCGGTTTTGTAGACCTTTGTTTTTTTTTTTTTTTTTTTTTTGGGTCAGGTTCAATTTCAGTTAACAAAACGTAAAACATGACATTCCCTGCAGACATTGTTGTATACTAATGCGTATGGTTTCTTCTCTTTTTAAAAAGTTTTTGACCATCAAGCAGCAGTTGTCAGTAGGAGTTTATAATACCAAGAATGTGCTGCATATCTTGTCTCAATAAGTTTTAAGTAACATTTAAAAATATTAAAGCATATTACTTGACCTAATTTTTTAGCATTTGAGTTGTTCCATTAAATGGAGCATCTCGTAAATTTCCAGTATTTTATACTTGCAATTGTTAAGAGTTAAAAGGTAGTTGGATTTGTCCCAGACAATGAGTTAAGGAATCCTTCACGTTTTTCCCAACTGAGCTTCAGGCCAGGAAATGTGTCATCTTGCCAAGCACCTGGCTGAGTGTGCTGGAGTGAGGATTTGAACAGAAACTTCCTTTTCTGTTATTATTCGCCACGAAGCTAAAATGGCCAAATATATACTGTGAAAATTGGTTTCTTTTAACAAAGGATCAGATCCCTCCTTCAGTTGTACATATTTTTAAATAAAATCATATTAAACTAAAATATATATATACTAGCATGAACGATAGGTGATGAGCTAAAAAAATTGCAAAAAAATCTTACAATATTTTAACAAACTTGACCAATTTGTGTTGGGCTGCAGGTTGGACAAGCTTGGTCTAGCTTAAGTTTTATGGATTACTTGTACAATAGAATTGAGTTGATGTCTATTGAAGAGTGTGAAAGTGGTTTTTAAAATTTGTACTGTATGTTATAAAGCAGTATGAGTAACATACTTTATGTGTGAGACTTTACATGCCTAAGAAATACTTTCGTTAAGAAGGGTTTATATTTATGGTGGAGTATTTGTTACAACATGGGGTCTATACATACTTGTAAAGAAATTAAGGATAGAGAATGCATCACTCAGGCCCCAGACAATCTTTCTATTCATATGGATTGATTAGTCATCACATAGTCCATATTTTTCTACTGTATTCAAGTCCCAGTTGACATCATATGTATCATATTCCTTAGTTCCCAAACATGTTCCCTTCTTTCTTTTCGTGTAACTTTTAGTTACTCATTTGTCCGGGTCTGAATCCTGAATATTACCCTTGATTCCATTTTGTTTCACCACCCCTTTCCAAATGTAGCTTTAAGTTTTTCCTGTTTCTTTCTCTACTCCCAGAACCCACAACTATAGCTCTGAATGTATGTATGTTTCCAGTGAGCTTTCAGTATCTGCATGTGTTTACTCTAGCTCAAGGTGTGTGTTTTTTTTTTTTTTTCTGATATTTGTGTCATTAATTGATCTCTCTAATGAATCTTGTCAGAGAGGTCTTCCAGAAGGACATTTCAGACCATGTTTCTCTCTAGATTAAAAAACCCTCAAAGACTTCCAACTATGTACAAAGAGTTCTCTTGAATTCCTTCATCTGGTCTTCAGGGTCCTATGCTATGACTTAAACTTTTCTTTATTACACTCCCTCAAATATGTTTTCTCTTATCCTTTTTATACTTCTTTCCTTCTGAGCCTTCTGTCATTTTTTGGCCTGTACCTATCCATTTCCCTGTTCTCGCATTTCCAAATATCATCTGTCCTTCAAGAGTTGGCTTTTAAGTTTGTCTTCCAGCTAGAAGTAATCTTTTCTTCCTGGGAACTCCCAAAGGCCTTTTCTGTTTGTTATTGTACTTGGTATCCTTTCTGTTGAACTGTGGTTGTTGTTCATGGTTACTGGTTGTTATAGTTGGTTCTTTAACGTGTGGATTCCTGTCTCCTTATTCTATTTCTTGTGTATGTTTTCTGGTACACGTATATTCTTAAGACATATGCAATTCTGGGGGTATTTCTTAGTGGAGAAAAATAAAACCTTGGAGATACTTTATATGCCAAAGATAAAAATGATTGTGTGTTCTATAAAGATCTACAAAAATATGCTTGGAAGTAGTTTTGCTAAAAAAAGAGGTATAAGAAATTAGATACATAGATGAGACCTTGGATGACTGACTCAACAGTTTCAGACAGATGAAAACTAACTTCTAAATCTTTCTAGAAGGTTAGATTTAATGATATGTTCAATCATTTAAAAGTTATTTACATGAGACTTACAAGCAGAATTTTTTTTAAGTATTTTTACAATATGCAGTTCACATTTTATGTACTCCTAATTTACTTCTTGATACTCCTTACAATTTTTTAAAGGATTTTCCTGATTCGTAAATGGTTCTATTCTTTTTTGCACTTCTTCTGTTAATGATGTGTTTTATTTTTTTTAGTTCTCTGTTTGTCCTGGCAAAACTTACATTTGGAAAATGTTCTATTTTTCAGGTATCCTGGTCAGATATAGGAGGACTGGAAAACATCAAACTGAAGTTGAAACAGGCTGTGGAATGGCCCTTAAAACATCCAGAGTCTTTCATTCGAATGGGTATTCAGCCACCTAAAGGAGTTCTTCTGTATGGGCCACCTGGGTGCTCTAAAACAATGATAGCAAAAGCTTTGGCCAATGAGAGTGGACTGAATTTTCTAGCTATAAAGGTAGGATGTTAAATTTTTTAACGGCTACTCTCTCTCTTGGCCTCCGCTGATGCCCATCCTCTGACTCCTATCTTTAGGAGAACGAATAAAGGCATCTTAACGAGCAGTGATTATTTATTTATTTATTTTGATAGTGATGGCAACATAATATAGGGAGATGAGTGATAAGAAATAAATTTGTGCGTGTAATCAGCAAATCATGGTAGACATTGAGAAGACTGCTTTATTTAGTTTCTTGATTCTGATATGTCTTATATCCATGTGTAACAGAAACTAATGTTTTTTTTGTTTCTACATTTTTAATTATAGACTTTTGCTTAACCAGGATTTAAAGATAAACGTGATAATGAATTCAATATTTATATACCTAGAATTTTCAAATGAACAAGGCACTTGTTATGGTATACTAAATTCTTTAAAAATACTTTTCCAGTCAGAAAGTATATGTTCATTGTTTTTATTCTGAACCACACACACACATTTTATTCGTTCATTGCTCTGCTCCCATTAACTGGGATAGATAATCTTTCATGATATGTAGTTGTACACTTACTTTAGGACCAGATATTAATTTTATGTAACATTATGATATATCCAGGTACTTAATCCACACATATAAAACCATAAATCCATTTCTGTGGACTGTATCACAAAAATATGTACCTAAATAGATTTACTATCAATTCATTTCAGAAAAGGCACACAATCATCTGTTTCGATATTACCAGGGAATTTTTTGCATAACAGAATGCATTTTCTATCTTAGAACACTGAAATCATGGGCAGTTTGAAAGCATAAAACTTCAGAGTAGTTTGTCAACTTTTGGCTTTACTTAAGATTTATATAGAATGCTACTTAGGTGTGATTAAGCTGTTTGTTCTTTAAGAGTATCTTCAACATATTTTTTATTTTCTGGAAGATATTGGAGAGTAAATATAGGGGGAGGAGACCATTTATACCATGATCACTTATGGGGAATCACAGCTACAGTTTTAAAGGTTGCAGGTTTATTTGTTATTTTATTGAGAAATGGTCTCACTCTGTGGCCCAGGCTGGAGTATAGTGGTGTGATCATAGCTCACTGTAACCTCAAATTCCTGGGCTCAAGCTATCCTTCTGCCTCAGCCTCCTGAGCAGCTAGGACTACAGGTGTGAGCCATCACACCAGCTAACATTTTAACATTTTTGTAGAGACAGGGTCTCACTGTGTTGCCCAGGCTGGTCCCAAACACCTGGCCTCAAGCAGCCCTCCCACCTTAGCCTCCCAAAGTTCTGGGATTACAGGAGTGAGCTGCTGCACACAGCAAAGGTTGCAGTTTTAAGGGTTGAAGTAATGAGTGATTTTGAAATTTCCCAGGATATCTTGATTTCTCCTTGGTCCTTGTCCTTTTATCAAGTGGTAATGGGGATGGCTGTTTACTGGCATTTTCTAGTCTTTTTACTGTCATCGCATTTTTCTGTTCTTACCTTGTATATTTTACAATTGTATATTCATAGTCTTAGAATGTTTCTTGTCTACTGGAAATCTAAAACTTATTTGAGAACCTGTGAGCCAAGTCCTCATCAAATAAGTTTTAGACTTGAGTCTTAAGAGCACACTTATTTTCTTACAAACCAGTATCTTTCTTTTTTTGTGATCCAAGGTAATAATTTTAGGTACTACCAAGACTGCTTTCTGGACTATTCTAGAATTACTTAGAAATGTATTTATTATCTTTTTTGAACATAAACATTTCATAACCTTAGACAATTTCACTTTTAGTCTTTTTTTCACTATGAGGAAATCGTAAATGATTCTTTGAAAGGTTTAACTTTGTACACTGTTATGTAAAATAACCAGGCACATGTTCACTTATTTGAGCTTTTTCATTAGATTTTTAGGTCACAGACAGAAAAGCCATGTGATGTTAACAAATTATCTTAATTGAGTTCATAACTCAGAGACTATTACATGTCCTAGTTACTAATTTTTATTTAGTGTGGATTTTTATTCAGTTTAGAATTTAGTGTAGTTCGACAATATTATTCAATTTTTGAATCTGTGTGGAGGATATACTTAATGAATGATGGGTTTTTATTTTTCAAATTGAATATCCCTTATCAAAATGCTTCGGACCTGAAGTGTTTAGATTTTGAATTTTTTTGCATTTTGAAATATTTGCATTATACTTCCCAGTTGAGCATCCCTAATCTGAAAATTTGAAATCTAAAATGCTAAAGTGGGCATTTTCTTTGATTATCATGTTGGAGCTCAAAATGTTTTGAATTTTGGAGCATTTTGGATTTTCAGATTTAGGGATACTCAACATGTACTATTCATTCAACTCTCCTATATGTTTAAAAAAATTTTAAATACAAAGTTGGGAATATGAAAATAATTTGCCTTCTACTAGCATTTTCATTGATCCTTTTATTTTCATCTATTCAATGTTTGTGAGGAAAGTTTTAAAGTAGCAATACCATACGGCTTATGTATGAGAAAATGGAGCCAAAGAAGTTGGGAATTCATATTCTGTTCTCTTTTTTTTTGAGATAGAGTCTTGTTCTGTAGCCCAGGCTGGAGTGCAGTAGCACTATCTCAGCTCACCACAACCCCCACCTCCTGGGTTCAAGAGATTCTTGTGCCTCAACCTCCTGAGTAGCTGGGATTACAGGCATGCACCACCACGCCCAGCTAATTTTTTGTATTTTTAGTGGAGACAGGGTTTCACCATGTTGCCTAGGCTGGTCTCGAACTCCTGAGCTCAGGCAATTTGCCCGCCTCACTCTCCCAAAGTTCTAGTTTATAGGCATGAGTCATTGCACCTGGCCCTGTTCTCTTTTATTTTAACTTCCTGTTTAAAAAACTTGGCAACTTTTGTTCAACCTACATGTTTGGTTTCAACCTATGTATTTGTTTTCTACAGGATTTAAGTGTTACAAGTTAGTTTGAAATTGTGAAATAACAAATCTTACACATTTTTAAAGTGATCAGAAAAAGTAGACATACACTAGAATTCTCTAGCCAGTTAGGAAACACAAGTATTTAAAGAGACTGAAAGGAAAAACTCCCTATCGCTTTTCACAATGGGAGTTACTTTTAATCTTCAAGATATTTTGATAGATTTACATTTATTCCTCTAAGTTTATGAAAGAACATTTTAGCTTCCTCTATGCATCTTTTCTGAACAGGGATTAAAAGATATGTACTGTATTCAGGGTGGAGACTTCACCTTGGCTTGTGTGGGCTCTTAATGCCCTCTGGCATATATATGTGTTTTCGTGTAGATTGCGACTTTTGACATGTTGTGTAAGTTTAGTTTGTTATCTGGGCTGATTACGTAAAATACTTTTCAGTTGAAATTTCCTCTCTGCTGCTTCTCTCTTTTCTCTGGAGTGCTACAATAGACTAATTGCCCTGGGATAGCTGCATTGCTTTACTGTATGAAGAACTGTCACTAATTCTACAAGAAGTGTGGTTAGGCCTCTGACAGGGATTTTCAGCAAAAAATTATTCTGGTGAATACAGGAATGTAATGAGCTTAGTATATCCTTGACTTTTTGGGAAATTTTCTTCTCTATACTTGTCTCAGAGAGGAATTGTGTAAAATAGATTTCATTTCCGGAAAAACCTGTGGTTTGTTCAAAGTAGTGCACAATTCAAAGTACAGGTGCTCCCCAATTTAAGATGAATTTACTTAAGTTTTCGACTTTACAACGGTGTGAAAGTGATATGCACTCTGTGGAAATCATACTTCGAATTTTAATCTTTTTTTTTTTTTTGAGACAAAGTCTCACACTGTCACCCAGGCTGGAGTGCATTGGCATGATCTCGGTTGACTGCAACCTCTGCTTCCTGAGTTCAAGCAATTCTCTGCCTCAGCCTCCCAAGTGGCTGGGATTACAGGCATATGCCACCACACCCGGCTAATTTCTGTATATTTAGTAGAGACGGGGTTTCACCATGTAGGCCAGACTGGTCTTGAACTCATGACCTTGTGATCCACCCACCTCGGCCTCCCAAAGTGCTGGGATTACAGGTCTGAGCCACCGTGCCTGGCCCAAATTTTAATCTTTTACTGAGCTAGTGATATGCAGTACAGTACTCCCTCATGATGCTGGGCAGTAACAGTGAGCCAGAGCTCCCAGTCAGCCATGTGATCATGAGTGTACACGGCCGACATTTTACAATGCACTGTGTTGCCACATGATTTTGTCCAACTGTAGTCCAGTGTAAGCATTTTGAGCATGTTTAAGGTGGGCTAAGCTAAAATTGATGTTCAGTAGGTTAGGTGTATTAAATGCTTTATGACTTAGGATATTTTCAATTTTTGATGAGTTTATCAGGACATAACCCCATTGTAAATCAAAGAGCATCTGTAATTACTATTTGTCATTTAACTAGATATATTAATATTCTTTTATCGAAGGTACAAGATAATCTGAAATTTTAAAATTCCAAATTCATCTTTAGACTTCTGTTTTTAAATTTTTGCATGGAAAACTGCATAGCTACCTCTTTTAATTACAGAATGCTTTAAGATTACAAATAAGGATAATGATTTTAAGAAGGTTAAGTGACTTTTCCAAGGTCTAAGTGGTGGTGATGGCATTGAAATTTACTCTCAGAACTTTCTGAATCGAGTCTGAGCTCTTAACCACTGTATTATACGCTCTTCCATTTTTCTTTTTGTTTTTTAAAAAAATAAAACTAGTGTCCGATGGCTTTTTTCATTAATTACCCAAAGTTACCAGGGAAGGTAGCTTAAGTAGTTTCTGTAGGGTAGGTTCAGAGAAGTGGAAAGATGTTAATATGTTTCTGGGAACTGATTTGAAAAATAATTTTGTTTCTCTAGGACAAAGAAAACAGAAGAAAAACATGGCTTTGGTCTAGGAGTAGAAGTTAATAGGAAAGAGTAATCACGGCCAAAGATACAGGAAACTGTTGAATGAAATAGAAGTGCCTGGAAAAAGACTGATGGTGGGATAATGTGGAGCTTAAAATTTACCTGTTAGTATA